ACAGCTGCTACCCAACCCAACCAGGTGTTTCCAGTTCTTTTGATAATCCAAAGATTCTTCAGAATTGTTCAATGTTACACATGTTCAGGGTCAACATAAAATGGCAGGTGTATTTTGTACAGTGTTTCTTGTAATATTAACAGCAAATGACTAAAAACAGCCTGGTCTATCAGTAGGGGATTGTTAAACTATGGGAAATCCATATGATGGGATATTAAGCCCCTGAAAAAAAGAATGAGGATGCGCTCCATGTACTGATAAGGAAAGATCGCCAAGAAATATTAAGTGAAAAAAGCAAGGTTAAAAATACTGTGTATAGTCTGCTGTAATTATGGAAGAAATAGAGGGTTGGAGGCAGATAGATATTTGTACTGACTTTTATCTGCAAAAAGAAATCCCGTAAGGTTGTATAGGAAACTAATAAAAGTGGTTACAGGGGAGGGCAGGGCAAGACTGGCCAATGGAGGTAGAGATAAGATTTCACTGGATATCTTTCTGTAGCGCTTTAATTTTTGAACCACACAAATGTATTGCTTATTTGAAAAATAGTACAAAAACACTGTGTACCCCAGCCACTGGGAAGAAAACATCTCCAGGCTACAAACAGCCTGCAGGCTTCTGGGCTGCAACCTTTGCACTAAGGGCTCCGAAGCTGGAGAGGCAGAAAAGTTGGCAGCATTGGGTCCAAGCTTTAGGTTTGAAGACAAGTAGGGTGTTCAGTATCTGGTGTCGGGAACTCTCTCTGGATTGCCTAGCAATGAGCTAGTTGGGTCCAGCAGCCCCCACCGCCTCTAGGGGGAAAGTGATGCCCTCCAGCTTCTACGGGAGATGCTGCTCCAAAACCCCACTTCCCAGGAAACTGAGGCACCCCAAGGTCACCAGGTGCTGCTGGGCAGATGGAATTTCCTGGCATTCCTCAACCATTAAGGTTGCCTGGAACCCCAGTAGTCTGTTCCCCTCTGTCATGGCTCTGCCTCACTTGTCCCATACAAAGGAGAGTGACAGGTGGGTGCAGTTCCTCCTCTGGAGCACAGCATCCAGTGTGTCCAGATGGGCCCCAGCTCAGCACACTTCCCTAGAGAATACTGAGAACAGAGGACACGGTCCCCTGCTGACACTGCTGCCGGTCACTTTCAGGCAGCACCAGGAATGCCACTCATATTCACCCCTGCCCTTGTATGTTCCTCGTCCTGTCACTGTGAAAGAACTCAGCGTCATGGCTTGAACTGTGATCTCCCAAACAAGATACATTTAAGCCCTAACCCCCAGTACCTCAGAACGTAACCTTTGTGGAAACAGGGTTGCTGAAGATGTAAAGAGTTAAGATGAGGTCATACGGGAGAGGGCGGTTCCTAGTCCAAGATGGCCAGTGTCCTCATAAAAATGGGAAAACTTGAAGACACACACACACAGGGAGAATGCCATGTGATGACGAAGGCAGAGACTGGAGTGACGCCACTGCAAGCCAAGGAAGACCAAAGTCAGCTGGCAAACCATCAAAGCCAGGGCGAGGCAAGGAGGGGCCTCCTGCATACCGCAGAGAGATCATGGCCCTGCTGAAGCCTGGTTGCAGACCTCTGGCCTCTAGTACTGGGAGACCTGACATTTCTGTTAATCACCCAGTTGGTGGTACTTCGTTATGGCAGTCCTAGGAAATTCATAAACCCAGCAACCTCAGGCCAACTCAGCTGGCAAAAGTACCTGCCACTGCTCCTCCTCAGCAGGTGCCTAACAGATACTGGTGACAACTCTGCTCCCATGAATGAAGATTCTAGGACCTGGCCTGGTCGAGTTTATTGTGTCAGAACACATCAACTACTCAACCAATAAACAGTACTTGACCTTGTGAAGAATGCAACAGAAATAAAACATTCCATTACTGCCCTCAAGGAGTTGACAATCTGATAGAAGATTCAAGAAAGACACATGTAATAATGGCCAAATTAGAATTATCTTCCCCCAACCCTCACCCATGACCAGCAGATGTCATAGAGGTCACTCTTTATGTTGCACTGCGCTCCCAGCTGGATTCAACTTTTTACTGCATCTCATCTTGCTGCTCCCTGCATGTGTCTGGAAGAACTGCTTTTCCAGCTCTTCAGGACGTTATTTAGGATGTCAGGCTATTAGACAATTTCTAGAAACTGTCGCCACTGCTCCTGGCATGGAGCCCACACTTCTTGCCCATTGTGGACAACCATTCCTGGCCAGAATTGTCTGCCACCCCTGGTGAAGTTGCTCCCTTCAGTTTTTTATCAGCTCTTTTGTCCCCTTCAGAGAAGGAGACCCTGTGGGGTGTTGAGCCTATTCTGCAGCTCTCAATGAATCTGACGAGCCAAACACATGAGATCCAGGTGGTCTGAGAGTCCACTTTGTTGAACTGACAGTTTTCTAGCCAGGGGCAGGCTACAGAAAATCAGAGACCCTCGGCAGAAATGCTGCCTTCTTTATCCTCATTCAGAACATGTGTGTGTTTGGCCCAGCCGTCTCGCAAGCGGCTGCCCCCAGTACCCCCTACATCCAGGAGCTCTGATTCTTACCATCAGCAAGACTCGTGTCCAGCCACACGCCTGGCAGGAGAGGAGGCAGCACACCTTGGCTGTATTCTGCTGGCACTCCTGCTGGATCCCAGCACTCTGGACTCTGGCTCCCGCAGGGTTTCTCTTCTGCTGAGCGCCCAGTGGAGGCTTTGTCTGGGCTCATGGAGAAAGGCAAGTTGCTGCTGCCCCACCCTTGACAAACAGCCCGATGACCCCAGGTGGCTCTGTGCCAGGCTCCTGAAGGGCAGCTGTGGTCAGGGCATGACCTGCTGTCAGAACAGAGAGAGGAAAAGTTTCCTCACTTTGACTTCAGGCAATTCATTTTAGATTATCTGGGTTGGGCTTTGAGGCAGACACTATTGCTGGCTTAAGCAGCATCCATTTATTCTTTCCTCCCTTCTAGCAGAGTTCCAGTTCTGTTCACTAGGGACAGTAACCTGCCACCCCTGGTAAAGTCACTCCCATTAGTTTCTTTTTTTTGAGATGGAGTCTTGCTCTGTCCCTAGGCTGGAGTACAGCGGCACAATCTTGGCTCACTGCAACCTCCACCTCCTGAATTCAAGCGATTCCTCTGCCTCAGCCTCCTGAGTGCTGGGACTATAGGCGCGCGCCATCACACCTGGCTAATTTTTTGTATTTTAGTAGAGACAGGGTTTCACCATGTTGGCCAGGATGGTCTCGATCTCCTGACCTCGTGATCCACCTGCCTCAGCCTCCCAAAGTGCTAGGATCACAGGCGTGAGCCACCATGCCCAGCCCATTAGTTCCTTATCAGCTCTTTTGTCCCAGTCAGAGCAGCAGACCTGTGGGATGCTAAGCCTATTCTGCAGCTCTCAATGGATCTGACAAGCAAAACACATGAGATCCGGGTGATCTGACAGTCCAAGGGTGCCGACTCAGAGGCCTTATCCAGCCAAGACTATGCAGGATTCTTGACAGTGGATAGGGTTGGGGAGCCTCTACCCCACCTCTGGTTGTTCAGACGTGAGAGGAGCCCTGCTAGGGGTGCTCCGGAAAGTGTTTTCCTGGCTCTTTCCTTCTACTAGGTGCTGTGCCATCTAATATATTGATTAGAACTTCTGCAGCCACTTTATAACCATGAGAGGGAAGCCTGAGACAGAACAGAAAGAATGAACCCAGGCCCCTGATGACGTGGTTGACCACTGGATCAGACAACACCAACGTCACCCTTCCTCCAGACTTCTTATAACACACATAATAAATATCCTTCTTTCAATCAACTGAGTTGTGGGTTTTTGCCACTTGCAGCTAAGATTATCCTAAGTGAGGTGCACTGAGATGTTCCTGAGACCACAAGACCACATTCTTCAATCCAGTCCCACTGTCCTTACTACAACATTCCCAAACTTTCAGGACAGACACACACACACACACACACACACACACACACACACACACACTTTTCTCTCCACCTTTTCTTAGTATTCAGTCCTTTTCCCAGGCTGGACACATTTTGCCATATTTTTAATAAATTCTGTTACATACGGCAATTCCATTACAGTATTTAATTAAGAAACATTTTTTACCCCCACTGATGTACTAGACACTTTGCTGGGCTGCTGGGACTCAAGATGGAAGTCAAGGACTAAAAACTGAAAGTGGTATGGAAGTTCCTCAAAAAACTAAAAATTGAACTACCATACGATCCAGCAATCCCACTTCTAGGTATATGTCTGGAGGAAACACGATCAGTAGCTCAAAGAGATCTCACACACCCATGCTCACAACAGCAGTATTCCAAGACATGGAAATAACGTAAGTGTCCATCAGCAGATTAATGGCTAAGGAAACTGTGGGATGTGTGTGTGTGTGTGTGTGTGTGTGTGTGTGCATGCGCACGCGTGCGCACGTGCATATACACAATAGAATATAATTTATCCATAAAAAGAAGGAAATCTAATATTTGTGACAACATGGGTCAACCTCAGACATTAAGGGCATTATGCTAAGTGAGGCAAGCCAACAGAGAAAGGCAAATTTATGATCATATATGTGGAATCTAAACAATTGAATTCAGGGAAACAGAGAGAAGAATGGTGCTTTGAAGGGGCTGTAGGTGGGGGAACGGGGAAATACTGGTCCAAGGGTACAACATTGCAGTTACAACGTAGATAGGTTGGTAAGTTCTAGAGATCTAATGTACAGCACGATGACTTGAGTTAATACTGTATTGTATACTTGAAATTTGCTAAGAAGGTAGATTTTAAATGCTCCTATCACACACATAAAAAATGGTAACCAGGTGGGATGATGAATGTGTTAACTAACTTTATTAAAAAAATTATTTTTGAATTCCATGTTAACCAACTTGATTGGGGTACCATTTCATAATACACACATGTATCAAATCATCATGTTGTACACCTTAAATTTACAGAATTTTATCTTTCAGTTACACCTCAATAAAGCTGGAAGAAAATGAAGCCTTGCGGAGGTACAGCAGATGCGCCCCACTCCTGGAAAGGAGGTGAGTGCAGGGTGGCAGATGCTAGGACAGGGTGCACACAGGCCTGTGTGCACAGAGTGCAGGGAGACCAGGGGCTGGGAGAGTGCTAGCAAAATGCTCCTCAGAAAAGAGATGAATTCTTAAAGGGAGATGAGGAAGCTGCAAACAATAACGAGAAGGAGGCAGACATTCGCAACCAAATATGTAAATAATAATACAAATAACAATCCACAATGGTGGCAGCTGACAGTTCCTGATACTTACAATGAACCAGGCGGTGTTTGAAAGTTTTCTGGGTACTACCCATTTAATCCTTCTCCAAAGCCTGTAAGGATTACAGGATTAGCCCCCTTTTATGGGTAAGTAAACTGAGGCATGGAGAGGTTAAGTGATACAGGAAGTGCATAGCAGAGGCAGGATTTGGACCCAGGTAGTGGAGCTCCCAGGCTCACATGCTTTGTAGGTTACACTGGTAATTCTCACAGTGGCCACCAGAAGAGAAGTCCGTGCAGCCCCTGGAAACTTGTTACCGATTCAGATCTTGGGCTTCATCTCAGACCCACAGAGTTAGAGCCTCTGTGGGTGAGGCCCAGCATGCCACGTTTTTACAGCAGGCCTTCCTTGTGACTCTGATGTTTGAGAACCCTGCTTGACACTATAAGCCTGTACTGAGAAGGAATGGCATGCCCAGAGGACCGTGAATGCTGCAAAGAGAACCAAAAGCCAGAGGAAAAGACAAGTAAGCTGTGAAGAAGCTTGCATGTCCTCTTCAGGAGGACGGGCTTTACTGTATGGGCATGAGGGAGAAAGGTGTGGGGTGAGGCAGGGAGGTGGCTTGATTAGGCTTTGTTCTCTGTAACAAGGTCTTTGGCATGAGTGCTAGAAACAGACTAGATGGAGAAGAAGATGGAAGAAGGGAGCCCAGGTAAGAGGCTGATTCCATGACCCCAACAAGCACAGCAGGGGCTGCCTTAAGGCGGCGGCAGTGCACAGGGGAGGGATAGGGACAGATCCAAGAGACAGAGTGTGGTGACAGTTGAACATGGGTACTAAGCTGGCAGAGGTGTCTACGATGACTCCATGACATCTAGCTTCAGAGGTTAGGTAGATGGTGACATTATTTAGCCAGAGTGGAAATGCTAGAAGCAGAACAAGTTTGGCAAGGAAGAGAATTAGTTCCACTTGGAAATGTTAAGTTGGAGGCTTCCCTGGGACATCAGGGTGGACGCATTTAGGATGCAGTGGGAGAAATATCTGGTGCTCAGGAGTGGGGACGGGGCTGGACATATAGGCACGGGATTCGCCAGTTTAAATATATGAGGGTTGAAGTCACAGACATAACTAAGGCTGCTCACAGGCTGTGCAGAGGGAGCAGGGAAAACTGAGGGCCGGAATAATGCAGGACACTGACATTTAATGGACACTCAGAGCAAGTCAGCAAAGGAGGCTCAGAAGCAGTGCTTAGAGAGAACACAAAGGAAATAATGTTGTCTCAAACCAAAGGATGAGAAAAGGATGAGAAAAGATGTAGAACGTTTAAAGAACTAGAGGTTGACAGCACATTCAAATGTTGTACACATGTCAGACATTCCAGAAAGAACCCAGACTTATCAATGAGAAGGTCACGGGTGAACTCAGCCATAGCCGTCCCAGTGGAGGGATGGAAGCAGAAGCCAGATACATTCATAGATGCATTGTCCAATAAGCAACAGCTACCATGTGCCAAGCTTTGTGCTTTGTGCTGGGATAGGGTGATGAACTCAGCCCTTACCAGGTAGTGGAGAGGGGAGAAAGTGGACAGAAATTACAACAATAATTACGGGATCATAACCGGGGTAAGTGCTCTGATGAAGACATGAAGACACACAAAGGGCTTGCTATAGGGACCCTAAAGCAACAAGACCAGCACAGAAGACGAGAGAAAGGAAATTACATTTATGTTGGGTCCACGGGGTGAATAGGAGCAACCCAAGGAAAGGTGTGGGGGATTGGTCAGAGTGGTGGGAAAAACTACAGGGAAGAGATGTACACCTTCTGAAAAGTTGGAAGGCTCTGCAGAGCCCCAGGGAAGAATAGCTGAAGACAGCTGTTCTATAACCCTGAGGCAGAGGGACAAGGAGTAGGTACAAGGGAGTGTAGGGGAATTTATCTTAAACAGGCTTGTTTACTTATATTGACTGGGAACTGACCTTTGATCATCTGTGCCTGTGAAGTTCCCTGAAAGGGGAATAGTAAGTGTTAATTGCCTACAGGTTGTGTTTGCTCCAGGTTTTTGGCATTGTGCCTGCACTGAATTAAAGCAAGCAGCTCCAGCTTCTCGGGGTTGCTCTCTGGCCACTAGAGCCGGGCGCTGGCCTATCTGCTCTTAAACTGCATACCTATGTCTGAGCACTCCTTCCATCCGTGGGCCAGGGTCTGCGGGACAGACCTAGCAGAAAGGTGGGTGGGAAGTATGTTAAGGGACAGCAGGCATAAATACCCTCAGCTAGAAAAAGCTTTTTTGTGTGCTCAAGAAATGGAAGGAAAGCAGGGTGGCTAGAACAATCCTAATCTGGAAGAGAGTGGTAGGGGCTGAGGTTGAGGAATAGGACTTGATTGGCCCAGTTAGAGATTTGGGACTTCATCCCAACAAGCCACAGGAAATCATGAAAGTTAAAATCTAGAAGGTTGGGAGAGACATGATCTGATTTGCATTTTTAAAAACATGACTTTAGCTGCTTGTGGGGAATGGAACTGGAAGAGGAGGGATGTGGAGTGGATACATGAAGGCTGATTGGGAGAATCATTACAGCCCAGGCAAGGAATGGCAGCATCTTGGACCAGGGCGATGGCAGCAGAAGTGGGCACAGGTGAAGAGATTCTAGAATTATTTAGAGGTGGAGTCAAGAGGTCTGGGTGGCCACTGGGATGTGGTAAGTGGGGGGAAGGCGCAGTTGAGGCCAGCGTGGACTCAGTGGTCCCATCTATATCTGTTCTTAGACACTCCCACAGGGCCACTGGGATGGAAGAACACATAGCCCCTGAATTCCAAG